CAGGCGCCGCAGACCTCGGGGCACGCGTCCTCCGCGTCGACGCCGCCGGCCCTCTTGCGGCAGCGCGAGTACGGCGCCGCCGCGACCCAGGCGCAGCCCTTGGTCGCGTCGCCCCTGTAGGCCCAGGACGCCGAGTTGCACGCGCCGATGGCCGGCGCGGCGCAGCCGCCGGCGATGCCGTCGCACGCGGCGGCGCACGCGTCGCGCGCGAGGGAGCCGTCCACGCCCGCGCGGCCGCACCGTTTCTCCTTCTTCGCCACCCAGGCGCAGTCCTTGCCCTTCTTCGCGTCCCGCCAGGAGTAGGAGTCGCAGGACGTCGGCGCCGCCGTCGGCGCGGCGACGGGCGCGGCCGTCGGGTTGCCGGGGCTCGCCGTCGGCGCGAACGTCGGCGCCGCCGTCGGCGACCGCACGGCGAGCTCGGCGAAGGCGACGCCGGACGCCGCGAGCGCGAGGCGCGGCGGCGTCGTCTCCTCGACGACGAGGGTGACCGCGCCGACGTCGGGCGCGGCCGCGACGACGGCGCCCGTCGCCGCGTCGACGAGCGCGACGGCCTCGCCGGGCGCGTTCACCGTGATGCGGTACGTGCCGCCGGTCTCGAGGACGACGCCGGACTCGCGGAGCGAGCGTCCGTCGACGTGGAGCTCGTTCGCGCAGCTGTAGCCGCTCCACTGGATGGCCGTCGCCGCGCCGCCGAAGTCGCAGTGCTCCTCCGCGGGCAGGCAGACGTGGGCCATCCACCCGCTCAGGAGCAGCATGTCGAAGTTCAGGTTCTCGCAGTCCGTCCGCAGGCCGATCGCGTCGGCCTCCGCGCCGCCCATGTCGCCGTCGTCCGCGAGGTAGCCCGAGTCGCCGTGGACCTGCTCGAAGAGCGACGCGTTGACGAAGTAGGAGTCGTCGATGTCGCAGGCGGCGGGCGCGTGCAGCTCGCCGAACGCGGGCGGGTCGCCGCCGACGCGGCTCTCGAACCGCGACGCGCACGCGTCGCCGACGGCGACCTCGAGGAGCTCGTCCGCGGCGCCGTCGACGGCGTAGAGCGTCCCCGCGGCGCTCACGTCCATGCCCTGGAGCGCGCCGGGGCGGCCCGTCTCGAACGCGCCGAGCCGCGCGCCGCTCGCGACCTCGAACGCGACGATCGCGCCCGTCGCGTGCTCGGCGACGTAGAGCACGCCGTCGGCGAGCGCGAGGCCCGTCGGCTCGTCGAGGCCGCTCGCGAAGACGGCCTGCGTCGTGCACTCGTAGACCGAGTACTCGAAGGACGGCAGGCGGCTGCTGAACGCCGGGTACTCGGGCACGCCGGCGCCGTCGCCGCCGCGCGCGGACCGCGAGAACGCGCCCGAGTCCGCGTCGACGCGGAGGATCTCGCCGGTCTGGGCCGAGCTCACGAAGAGGCTCCGCGTCGCCGCGTCGACGACCATGCCCGCGTGGAGCGCCGGGTCCGGCCGCACGTCGACGTCGACGAAGCGCCGCACGGCCGCGTACGAGTGGTCCATGTTGCCCGGGCCGTGGGGCTGCTGGAAGTCGAAGCGCACGACGTCGTTGAGGAACGCGTCGACGGCCCAGAACACGGTGCCGTACGCCGTCGCCGTCTCCGGGTCGTGGACGATGCCCACGCAGTCCGGCGCCTCGTGGAGCATGTCGCTGT